AGTGAAAAGGTGCTAAGTTTTCGTCCATCATATGACGAACATCATCAGAGCAAGGTATCATCGTCACAGCAAAATTCAAGCTAACGAGTCAAGAAAACGGGTTTTCTTGGATTTTTCTTTACTCGAAAGCAATAGGATACTTGTGACTTTTGCTCTAATTTTTATATGGAGGCCAGCAATAGAGCGGTTGCTGGGCTACTCAGAATTTTCCATTATTTTATATAAAGCTGCATTGATATGCTTTGAGCATTTTTGAAATTCCACTATTAATGTCATATTTTACTTATGTCCTTTTATCCGTATCCGGTTTTTGGTGGGGCTGTTTAATCAAGATTGCTGCGTTTGCCGATCTGAACGCTGATCGTCGAACAGACGCTGTGGTCTTCAATGCAATTGAACACACCATAGGTGCTTTGATGCAGTCAGTCACCAGATCGCCCGGTTACAGTACAGCCACAATTCCAGCACCAACTTTGACCAGTCCTCTTCTTTCTACCAGAACTCTAGGAAACCCGGTGCGTCGTATAGCAGCCAGTGACTTCACCGGGAGCACGCGGGTAGATCTGTTACTCCTTACCTCTGCTAGCAGAAACAATGGTCCTTACCAGGCCTACTTAGCTCTAGGGCTAGGAGGGTCACAAAGAGGCATGTTTGGTAAGCTAACTTCTATAGCCATTACCTTTGCTTGCATTACCTTCTAATTACGGCGGGCACATTGCAGATGAATATAAGGGCCGATCTTTACTGCAATGATCTTGTAAGCAGCTTCAAAAGCCTTGCCTTATCATTCATATAGTCTGTTATCACTTCATTTCTCTGCGTTAGGAGAGGGTCAGAACCTCGGATTCACTATTGAAGCATATTTATTGCATTTAAAACCTCACCGACATTAAAATTGCAGTAAATTATGGACGAAGTAATTACAGCCGGACATAACATCATTTCCAATTAATGATCACTATCTCCCCTTACATAGATTCTAGCCATCACTTCGATTGCGTTATGTCGGAAGCATGTCTGGTT